GAGCCTAGGCTCTATACAAACCGCACCCTATAAGTATATACTAGTAGAGAGAAGTGTTTTGCACGTGTGAACAAAACTATTGAACTTATGAAAATACAAATTAGATACAAAATATAAAAAAAAAAATTATGGATAGAGCACAATGATTATCTCAAATCAAAAAACAATTATAGGTTCTCAAATCAATTAACAGTCGTAAACAATCTAAAAGTATAAAATCTTGTAATTAAAAATATGAATTTTTTAAATTCAAAAAAATTATGAAGTTTTATGGCACTTGAGTCTAGTATGACAACATATAAAAATAAAGGCCCACAAATCACATATATAATATTATCAAACATAAACAAAGTAATTTACTATAAAAAATTTAACTATATTACAAATAATTAACAATAAATCAACAATTTAATATATATAATTTTTCTAAAACAGAGAATTTAATAGCTATTCATTTTAATCTAATAAAACTATGAAATATAATTCATAATAACACAAAAAGTTAATAGAAGTTTTCTTCGTTCCATTTTTTTTTATAATGTAAGTGAAAAAAAAAATACAAATTAACTATCCATAATGACCATAAAACAAATACATTAGAAACTAATATGTTTTAGAAACTAAAATAAGATTTCTCAATATCCCTTGTGACCTCCCTCGTGGTCTCCCTTTTTATGTGACCTTATCCCTCTCTCCATGATCTACCAAATCTTGGAAAATTTCTCTCCTAAAATATCTCTACTCATCCTAAAATTTCTTTATCCACATCTTAGCTACTAAATCTTGGAGAGCCTACTAAAATATATCTATCCATATCCCAAAATTTATTTATCTATATCCTATATACACACCTTCCCAACTTTCTCTATTCATCTCCACGCAACTCTCTCCCTCTATTGTATTATAAATATAAAAACTAAATTTTTGATAATCTAACTATTTGCAAAAGTATCTACATCCATGTTCTAAAATTTCTTTAAAGCCCTTTAATAAAAGAACTAATAGAGTTGTGAATGAAATTCAAAAGAATTAAAAATTCATAATTAAAAATATAAAATATTTTAATATTTTTATTGCTAATATAATAATTAGAAATAAAATTATTAAAATATTGGTAAAAAATAGAATGGATATTTATTCTTAAAATATTACATAATTTGTAATTTAAAAGTATAAAAATAATTCATAAGCTATGCAGTTTTTATAATAAATTTTATTTTTAACATTACAATTAGAAAGGGAGATATTAAAATATTGGTAAAACTTAGAATGGATATTTATTCTTAAAAAGATAAAAATTGTAATTAAAAAACTATAAATAAGTGTTGAGCTAATCCTTAGTACTCTAGCACTCCCAACCCTATTGTTTCTCTCACCATAGGGTCCCTTCTTATTTTGGTGACATATGTCCACCCTTAATATACTCTAACTCTATGACTCCCAACCTTATTGTTTCTTTCACCATAGTGCCCCTACTTATTTTTGCGTCATGTGTCCACCTTTTAACTATGGCTTAAAAATGTAGTATAGATTACTCTAGGACTCCCAACCCTATTGTTTCTCTCACCATATGGTCCCTTCTTATTTTTCCGACACATGTCCACCCTTTAACTCTGGCTTAATAATGTAGTGTGTGTGTATGTATATATAT